AAAAAAAAAGAGCCCCCTTTCGCATCTAAACAAAGTGTTTTCATTGACACTTATTTGACCCTCATAGCAGCCCTGTGAGAAAAGTATTTTTGTCCCTTTTTACAGACAGGGAAAACTGAAGCTCAGAGAGGGGAAATGACTTGTCCAAGTTTGCCCAGTGGACCCAGGACTAGAACCTAAGGTTTTTGATGCCCACTAATACTGGTCACCAACATGTCCAGTTCTTTCCCTTCCTGGCACATAGTAGCTTAGCACTTTCCTGTCCTCTTGAAGTGAGCATCCCCCTATGACATGCTTTGATCAATTAAATGTGAGTAGAAGTAGCCCCCCAGGCAGAAGTCTTCAAGGACCTGAGCACAATCTGCCAAGCTCCCTTCCATCATGGTAACCAGTGAGGTTCTAGGTGGCAGAGATTCCATCAACCTGTGTCCCTGAGTGAGGACCATTTGGAGCAAAGCCTTCATTGACTCAAGATGGATATAGAGAGTGAGTGAGAAATAAATCATTGTTGTAAAGTATTGAGATTGGGGGTTATTTATCAGAGCAGCCTAACCTAGCCCCCCTCTCCTATGGGGTTACCTGAAACCTGTTTTCCAGCTAGTTATTAAGACTGGTTCTGTTTACTGTTCTATTCAGCACATTTGGTGTTCTATGTGTGAGGGCCCAGTGGGGTTGGGAGCACACAGATAATAAGACAGGGCATTTGCCCTTGAGGAACTCAGAATAGTCCAATGCTGATTTGAGTGCCCTGTACTCTCCTGAAACTCAACCTGTCTCGCTCAGATGTGGGTTTCCCTGTTTAGTAAGTAGTACTACCAGCCACTAACTTAAGCTAGAAACCTGGGTGTTATCCCCAACAATCCCTACACCCCCCTCAAAAAAACCTTAATTACTAAATCCTATTGATTCCATCTCCCAAACCGTGCTGAATTTGTCTACTTCTCTCCATCCCCATATTTCTCACCATAGCTTCTTCACTGTCTTCCTGTCTCCCAACCCATTCCCCATACCACAAGAACAGTGAGCTGTCTAATGTTTACAAATTTGATGGTGCCACCTTCCCTGCTCAAACCCCTTCCATGGCTCCCCAGTGCTCGTCCTCAACTCCTTAGTTCAGTTTTCAAAGGCTTGCCCAGTCTGGCTCTGCCTGTGTTTTCAGCATCATTCCTCGCCACTTGCTGCCAGGATCTAACCAGGCTGAACTACTTTCAATTCCTCTAATGTCTGGGCTCTCTTCCCACCAAGCCTCTGCACATGCTGTTCTCTCTGCCTGGAATACGCGTCACCCACTCTCCTCCTTCCCCTCAGTCAACTCTTATTTAGCCTGGCGTCTCAGCTTTCATTTTCTCCAGAAGGCCTTCGCTGATACCACCCCCTCCCAGTCTGGACTAGGAGCCCGCACTGCACCCTCTCCCTCCTCAGTAACAGCACTCACGCCTGCATCTCAGCAGACTGCTAATTTGGCTATACCCTCCACTAGCCCAGGAGGCTTTGGAGGGCGGGGTCTGGGTCTGTTGTGCCTAACTTTGTACATAGGGTCTCACACACAGTAGGTGCTCAGATTGTATCTGTCAAGTAAATGGGGGGCATGAGCAAATATTTCTGGAGCACCTGTGTGCTAGACCAAACACTGTGCTGGGCTTTTGGGCTGCAGAGCAAGAAGAGATGTAGACCAGGTTCTGGTTTGTAAGGCACAGAGATTACCTTCAAGAGAGGATCAATGATAAGCCATTGGACAAATCAGTAGCCAAGAGAATTTGACCTAGTAACTAGTGCTATAAAGAACATAAAGCAGGGTGTTGTGGTAGACACTGAGGGGTCAGTGAAGGCCTCTGAGGAGGTGAGGCTTGAGCTGGGCCTGAGTAGTGAGAGGGAGCTGGCCATAAACTTTTGACCATTTCAGGTCTTTTAGTGGGGATTTAGCCTGGCCTGCAAAAGGACCAATGAGAAGGGCATTGTGATTGGGGCAAAAAGGGACACGCTGAGATGAGTCAGAGTGGCTGGGAAGGGCCAGACCACTCAGGGCTTCCTAGGCCATGGGGAGGAGCTTTATCTAAGGACGATAAGAAGCCAATGGAAAATGAGTGATACAGGTGCTCCAGATATCAGCCTCTTGAATATCTCCCACCTTGTTCAACTTGCTGAGAGAACCAGCCAGGTATCTCTCATTAAAGTAGGAAACCCAGTATCCCTACCAAAAACCTCAGGAATTCTTAGCTTGGATTCTGCTAAGCACCCTTGGGTTTCGCTGATTTCTGAATCTCCCATCTGCTTTTGCCTCCTCTATGACGCTCCTTTTTCCTGGTGACTGACTAAGCCTTCACTCCCAAAGTTCCACCAGTGCCGTGCTGTGCAAGTAGCACACCTGGCTGATGATTTGGAGCGAGAGCCAAACACTGAAAATTTAAAATTAGAGAC